CATTTACTTCGTATTGAAAGCACTTGTATGTTTTGTTTAATTTCAACATTGTGAGTTTGATGAGATGTATGCAGTTGTGATGCATTCAAGTGCTTTCTGAGTAATTTAATTTTTGTTTCAAGAATGGATTTTCAAGGAAATGAGGACTGAAAAATTACTGTCTTCCGTAAAAAGCATGAGAGGAAAGGGACTTTGTTTAAAATGATGTAGCCGCATGGCTCCTGTTGCTTTGTTCTAAATGCTTACCATGTGATCTAAGTCGAGATCAAGACATGCATAGTCTTAGCTGAAATCTTTCAACGATTATCGATATGACTAAGGAGCTCTTAAAAAAGTTTGAACTGTCACAAAATTTGATCTTCACTTCCCAAAACAAGCAGTAAGTAATTAGTTATTGAACCCTTTTCTCATTGCACGAATTAACATAGTTCCTTATTTGCCGTTCACTTATGACATCTAAGGGGAAGGGGGGGGGGGGGGGGGGGTCAGCAAGAAAATAATAATAGAAATTCCTGGAAATCCATTGTTCTTTTATGAAAAATGACCGTTAAATTCGGACGTCATAAGTGAACGACCCCTTAGAGCTTATATAAATCACAATTAATGCCTTATTCCCAGGGTATTTAAATCATTCAATTCCAATTTAACATCACAACGCTAATTTACATAAGTCATTTGACAAATCAACTCATTCATGTAAACTACATCACTATTTTCAATGATTTCTGCATGTCATTGTCATAATGATTTGTTAAACAAACAACAAAAAACCCTCGACATAAGCTTTTCACTCAATTTCATAAATGCTTTTTTGTTAAAAAAAAATAAAATAAAATGACAGAGATAAATGCAAAACAATTCCGTATGGGTGGATACGAAGAAAAAAAGTACTTATGTAAGCTTATACGGTGCTTGTGTTAGCAACAATTTCACATTATTTGCTTTATTGTGATTTTCAATAATTTAATAAAAAGCCTTTTAGTGTGATTATTTGCATGACATGAATGAGATTGCAATATATGACATGATTATGTATGAAAATTGGAACAATAAAATGGAAATTAATTTGAAGATGAAATATAAATGACATTAAAATCATTGGATGGGATTCAAACAATTTTAAAATTAATTGAAATGCGCGCTGCGTCGACAAAATATTGAATTATAGACATTTTAATTATTTGACAATTGATTTGTTATAGATTGGAAATGGTTGTTTGTGGTTGAGACAGGAATTGCTAGAATTTTCAATTTGATGCATTCAAAATGTTTAAATTATGTCTTTAATATTAACAAATTTTATTCATGTTGGAAATTTTAAAAAAAATTTGAGAAATGAATTTAAAATTTCAGATTACAAAATGGAAATTAAAATGAAAACTAGGACATGATCAAATTGTTCATTTCTCATTTGAAGCATAAATAATTGCAATCTAATGGACATTATAAAAATATAAATTTTTGAATCAAATTAAAAAGCTTTTTTTTTGTGCAAATATTAAAATGAATTGGAAAAGTTTTTTGTTTTGTAAATGAAAGTTCAAAACTTTAACTTTATGTCTTTAATACTGGGGGTCCTCGATTTGAGTAGATTCTATTTGAGTAGATTCGATTTGAACAGAAAATTTTTTACTCACCAAAATATTCGATTTGAGTAGATTTCTTCCCGTTTTCTTCGATTTGAATTGTTTACAAAACAAATATTTTTGATAAAAACATTTCAGAAAATATTTTAAAACACAAATTTTTCTGCAATAAGCGTGAACTTATAATATTGATCGAAAAATCAATACTAAAGTTACAAAATTAAAGTAAAAATTTAAAAAATCGATATAAAATTAACGGTTTTAAAAAGTTCAAATTTAAAAACCCTACAAATTGTTCGGTTAAATAACATTTGCAAGGTTCTCATATTTTTGTTTTGTTTCAAAAACATATTTTTTATGAATTTCTGTTTAAAAACAATATGAATATGCGTTGAAATAAATTAAGTTATCTAAAACACATAGGCAAAGTTAAGAAACTAGGTAAAATGTGCAAAAAATTATCAAAATTTTCATTGTTTTGATACATTTTTTGGACTCTGGAGCAAAACATGTGATTTTGTATGGATTCTTTGCCTCGATTTGAATAGATTCGATTTGAGTAGAAATTTTTTGGAACAAAACAACTACTCAAATCGAGGACCCCCAGTATTGAATTTTTTCCAGGTTAGGATAAATTTAGCTATTTATTGTGTTAAATAAAAAAAAATGAAATTTAAAGTTTTGAGGTTTACAAAATATTAAAGTCTTTTTATAATGATCATAGGCGAAGCTAAGGCAAGGTTGTGTGATTTAAGATGGATTTAAAAAAATTATTTTTTTTTCAAAGCATCTCATTTCAGATAAAACCATCAATTTCTGTGTTTCATCCTTTTATTTTGCTAATACCCTCATATTCTAAGTATCTTGTTAACACGACATTCTTGTACAATAATTGCTCTTTTTTTGGCTATAAGCCATTTCATGTTATAGATAATTGAGTCCAAAAAAGAAAGAAATCGTTGTGTTGTTAAGAAATAAAGGAGGGAATCGTAAAATACTCGATAATGTTGAATTTATTGTCACTTAAACAGAAATAAGACGAAAAAGTTTACATCATTACAGCGCAATTAAACAAAACCAATTTGTAGAGTTTTCATTTTCATTAGAAAAGTTTTTTTTTTCCTTTTTGCTTTTATTTGATCCTTAATGAGATGCTTTATAATTTGATAATAGCACAATTAATTGCCATTTTTCTTCTTTTAATGTTTCTTTGATATTCCCAATTTCTCTCCCTAAAATGTTTTCATTTCCTGCTTTTCTCGTTCCTTCATTTTCATTCTGATGACAACTTTCTATCGACACCAACGAAATTTCTTTTATTTTGCACAAATTGTTGAAATCTTGCTGGTAAAATGAAATGATACTTTGAGCATTCATGCTTAACAAAGGAGGCCAGGAAAGGGAGGAATCGAATGAAATAAGGAAAGCATTTATGGTTATTTTGAGATAAAAATTATAAAGAAGACGCATTTTTATTTCAAAAGTGCTATTTTACTAAAGACGTGCAGACCCTATTTTATAATCATAGAATTTTGAATGCACAACCGCTTTTTGAAGATTATTTTAATTAAATTTCATGATGCTTCAATTGAAAAATTTAAGCCTTAACTCAAAATATGAAATTAATCCCTACCAATTTCCAAATTTAATTGCATTTAGAATTTCCAAGAATATCCAATTCACTTGAGTTAATTAAAATTTAAAGTAAGCAACATTGTAAATCAATTAAAAAGTCTCTACATAAGTGAAATCTCTTGTAAGCATCTGCCAATTTACACAAAACAATCTAATGAGAGTTTTAACCTAATTGTAAAATATCATCTACGATGAGTTATTGGTTTTTAATTTCAAGGTCTTTTTGAAGGGCATTTTGTTCTTCAATTAAGCATGATACATTGGAAGTTGTCCAAAATTCAATGGAAGAATTCTGCAAGCATTAATATCACTTTTAGAGGTATCAAATGACTTCTGAGAAGCTTCATAATTGGGGGACTATAATTAGAGACAAATTAAGTAAAATGCTGTAGACCGTAAAATTGAAAATATCCACAAAATCAACAAGAACCAAACACAAACATTTATCTCATTTCTCATCATTCATCGTCCTCAATTTCACATCATATCCCCAATCAATTGCAAAATAAGAATGATGAAATATTTGAATCTAAATCCCAATTGCAATTGTCCACTCCCAGGTATGTACATACAATCAATAATGACTATACAGGCATTCTTGATAAAGGTAAAACAATTTTTGAGAGATGGAAAAATATTGGCATAGAATTGTGTATTTTTCATTCATTCACTTAAGCCATTTGGGAACCCGCATCAAGATTCAATTCGAGTATCGATTTTTGTGTCTACTCTTTGCAGAACAAAACGTAAAGCAAGTCAAACGGGGAAGAAGATGAGAAGCTTTTTGTCTTCAATTTTAAGGGCAACAAAATGGCATAAATTTCATTTTTATATCCCATTTTGAAAGGATATGGGAAATACAGAAAGGAAGTTTTGTCATCACTAAAGTAACAAAGGAGATGGAATTGAAGAGCTTCAATAAAGCTTCATTTAAGATCCTTACAATGACTTCCTCAATTTCTGTTGGAATAAATTTGAGGAACCCGAGCGGTGTAAAGGGCTATGATTTTTGTGACATCTTTAAATAGTTCAGACAAGACTGAGAATTTTTATAGTTTCAAGGATTGTGCTGCTCGGTTAACATATCTTCCTGGTTGGAATTTGGGGAAAGATTTTATTTGTTATGAGGCTTTAAAATTCAAGGACATAAGCTTTTAGAGCCAAGTATGTGAATTTTGTGTTTCATGTATTGTTTCTGAATGTTTTGAATCATGACTTTAATATTTGCTCTTAGAATTTCTCATATGTTTAAACTTGATTTGACTTTTAAAAGAATTTTTGTTAGAATCGACTTTGAACTCATTGCAAAAGCACTTAAAATTTCATTTATAATAAGATTGCATCAAATATATTTGCTAGGCTTTAACTTTTATTTTCAAACTTAAGAATTTCGATAATTACATTCAGTTTTAAAACAAAGGAAAATAAATTAAATTCAAAAGTTTTTCACCAATGTCAATATAATTTCTAGCTTATGCAAAAATTGAATGGAAATCGTGACTTGAATTAATATATTGGGACTGTTTGAATAGAAATTTCTAAGAAAAACGAAATAAACAATAAATTCTTGTCAAAATTAGATGACTTAATCTCTAAAAAATAATTAAAATTTATTGAATTGAATTGGCATTTCAGAAATTTGTTCTAATTTAAATCGTGAGTTTTGCAAAAACTTATTTTGAAATTATTTGGTATAAAAGTTGAATATTTTTCATTGCTGGTCATCAGTTTAACTTGAAAGTACAAACCTTGTCAATCAATTCAAACTTAACAACCAAAATGAAGTTAACATTACTAGGATTCTTCTTATTAGCTATGATTTACATACAAACTGTAGATACTGGCTCACAAACTTATGTTTCATCTACGCCTTTCTCAGTTCCACCATCGACCACTGAGTTTGAACATGATCATCACAAACACGATCGCCATAAAGAAAATGATCACAATGATGATAAAGATAGAGACAGAAAGGATAATCAAAGAGATGATAATGATCGAAGACGCAAAGAGGAACGAAAACGTGAAGAAGAGAACCGAAAACGTGAAGATGATCGAAAACGAGAAGGCAACAGAAAGCGTGATGAGGATCGCAAGAGAGGAAATGACAAAGAACGTGGCAATGGACGTGAACGTGAAAATAGAGATGATGATGGACGCAAAGATAAGAATTAAGAATGGTATTAGTGGTTTTGAGAACAAAAATTCTTATTCCACCTATGCCTTAATATTATTGTTTCATTACATATTATTTGCAAATTTAAAAAAATCATAACCTTAACTCCATAAACAGAACCATAATATGCGGAAGATAAAAATCCAAACAAAAATACCGCAGCTAATCTCAATCCAATTTGAATTCTAGCAACAATTTTCTCTAATTTCCATAACTTCCATTGTTGTATTAAAAAATTCATTAAAATCTTGACAATCAAATAAATTTGCTAACCAATGAAATTTAAATAAAAGTAAAATTACCTTTTAATGATGACAGACAGACACATTTGCACGCACACACGATTAGCATTAAGCACAATAAAAATATTTTTCTACTTTCCATTAAGGCAAAGGAAAATTAAATTTTCATTTTTATTTCAAAAATACGAAATTTATTCAAATGTTATTCGTGCGCATTGTTTCCAGCAAAATTTTACGATTGTTCATAATTTTCTTTGCTTATTTTTACAACATTCAAGTCAAGAACAATGTAAGCAATTAATGGGGAGAAAAAAAATATTTTTATGAGTTTTATTTTCGTCTTTTCTTCTTTCCTGTCTACACAAATAAAGAGCTTAATCCATGAGGATGTTTAAATTGCAAAATAAAGGAGTAAATCTTCACAATGACAATGAAAATAACATTTCTGTGGATCTGGGCTCATTTTAGAAGCAACTCATGTGCATACAAAATTTTTGGATCTTACAAAGGATATTTAATTTTCTATTTTGTGGATATTCATTTTCTTTAAAGCAATTTATGACTTTCTTTGTTTTAAAAATGTTAATTTTCGTTTGTCAATTGCAAAAATTTCAATTCGTTTGGGGCTTACATACTTGTAATCTTGCAATCGAAGAGATATAAGAGCAGGGACGATCTGGGATGTCAAGCTTTATGAAGGTGAATCTACCACTATGAAGGAAAGACTTCTGTAGTCAAGTTGGTAAGGAGCAGATCAAAAATCTATAATCCACCAATTCATAAGGACGTGGGTTCGATTCCCACTATACTCTGATTTCCTAATTATTCCAAATGGGCTCAATTCCTGTCATACGCTGATCTCTTAATCATTTCAAATTGTTATAAACATTTGATCTGGATTTGCTCAAACCTCTATAAATCACAATGCACAACTTAGTGATCAAAAAACAAACAAAACTCAATGTATAAAAATACTTTTAAGATTTGCAATTCAAACTCATGTGTCATAAGCAATAAAACTTTTTCTTCGAACAATAATGCTTCAAGGCACTGAAAACAATTTTATTATTATTAATATATGAATTTAATATCAAGATTATTTTAATCCCACATCAAATGTCTACATAGTCAGTACAAACTTATTATAATACCCAGTTATATCAAGAAATACATGATTGATGTTGTAGATATTCTGTACTTGATTTCAATGAAATCACAAGAAATATTTCACATATGTGGGTGTATTTGATTTAACCTTAAAGTCACGAGTAAGTAATATGCATTAAATATGGATATTTGGATACATCTGTGATGTTTCTGAGTTAATAATAAAGAGGTTACCTAGTATGGTCATATGCTGGATCAGTGTTGTCCAAACTTTTTTGAGCTACGGCACACCTTAGAGGTAAGCAATTACTAAAGCCGCACACAGCATGCGTCTCGCGTCGTTTACAAGAAATTTCTACTGCACACCAATGTGCCGAGGTACACAGTTTGGAACACTGTGCTAGATTGTTGTCATAAATGACTAATAAATGTTGCAAATGTCTATTGTAATAATTCAAATAATCGGAATTGAGTTTACTTTTGTGTCTTTGATGGAGATTGATAAGCAAATGTGCAAGGTAAGGAGGAAACATGACTTGAGTTAAATGATTTTACAGGTTAGAAAGGTTTGGTTTCTTCGAAATATTTTGATTTGTAAGGATGGAAAATAATTCAATTATTCTTTAGGGAACGCTACTCTAGCTCCTATAGAGCCTTGAAACTGAATAAACATTTCATAAGCGTCCAACCCTCAATAATATCCTACCCTAATATTTGTAGCTAGTTTGAATTTGTTATGTATTTTGTGACTTATTACAAATAAGTTAAATAATATTTCAATCATCCATAAAGTTATGAATATTGACTTTTAAATAAAGACAAGTGCATAAGCCAGAGAGTTCAAACATTGTCAATAGAACTCTAAGAAATCAATTTTGCTTGAAAATTTAATTCAATTTAAAAATCAATTATTTTGAGTGGTTTTAAGTATTCTGAAGCCTAAATCACTCCAAAAATTTCAAAATATCATCTCCATTCTCAAGTAACAATCAATTCAGCAAAAAACAACAGACAATGAAAAACAAAAGAGCGCTCAAAACTTATTCAAAAGTCAATTATTCATCAACAGCCAAAGACCGCTATAACTCTTTTACTGCCAAACATTTATATTTGCTCAATTCAGTGCTTAAAAATAATAGAGCTCTCAAAATAAGCAGCGTTAAATTGACAAGACAATCCAATTAGAGAGCAAAGCATTTCGCAGAAATTAAAAAAAAAAGTTTTAAATCGGGTTGATGACGATTGTTGTTATCGAATGAATTAGACAGTGCTTGAGTTTAACAGGGAAATTGGATTAATGATTTTTGTTGTTGTTGCTTTTTGATGGGAAAATGTTTTCGCTGTTGACAGTCGAGGAATTTTTGGCAGATTGATTGCGAAAGGTTTAGTTTAATTGATATTTATTGTAATAGAAGTAATGTTTCATGTATTATTTACATGCAATGATGTTGCTAGTGATTTAATTTCAAAAGCTAGGCAAACTTTAAATCCTGAACTTCAAGAAATTTTCAGAATAAAACAATTTTACTCAATTCTCTTTGAATTCCATCACAGAAATATTTAATAACATTTATATAACTTTTAAATCTTCTACAGTATCAATAACAATGTTATAATGAAGAACAAAATAAATAAAAACAGAAAGCAAAGCTGACAGAGAAATAAGATAGAATAAAAGTTTCAAGTCAAAAGAAATCAATTCAATCTCTTGATGGAATTATCCTTAAGCGTACAATGCTCCTGCCATTAACAGTCTATATGACTTTTACGTACTTTTCTGTATTCATTTCTTCTACGATTTCTTTTTTGGTGTGTGAAAATTGAACAGATATTGGAAATTGAAATTGACTTTCAGTTGAAAAACTTGCAAATGTTCGACTTATAAAGAGATTGAATATCAATGCTTGAATTAATTAAAATCAAGAAATAAAGCGAATCAGACACGATGATGGGATTAAAATGTTATTGGCATTTTCTCAGAAGGAGATTGAAAATTGATCTTTTTTCGTCGTCAAATTCAATGAAAGGTTGAAAGTTGAATGATTTTAAATTGTTTATTCTGAAATTTGAACATCAATAATTGAATTTATTTTGGTACATATGTTTAAAATATTGATGTCAAATGATCCCGAACAACACAAGTTGGTTAATCGATCAAAGATCTGGCACCAAGCCGGTGCTGAATTTAAACTGAAACCAGCACTTTGCCAGAGTCACTCCAGATTTCTTATGGATTAACCAACTTGTGCTAATCGGAGATGGCTCTTTACAGTTCATCTTTATTTACAAACTTTTGTTTGATAAAACTTGGATTAGGGGCGTGTAGCTTCAATAGCATCTAAATTAATGTTTAACCAATGATTTAGATGTTGCCAGACACCCTAGCATTAGAAACACATCCTTAAAAACATTCGTGCATCATACAAAGTTAATTCTATGAAATTATAAAAAAGTTTTCAAAACTTCAAAAATGAAAAACTTTTTCTTTATATTCCAGCAATTCCATTCTAAAGGAGCAAAACGAATGAAAATGAATATTGTTATTACCTCATTTGTGAAAATTTTTCTTTCCCTTTCGCATTCTTTCAAGCCACTTCCATTATCCGAATGTGTGTGAATATCGTCGCTCAACAATTTCAATTTGAAAGAAATCTCTCGTGAAATTATAACTTTTTATCTCCTATTTTCCCTCATTTCCTCTTGAAAATGAATAAAAAAGAATACATGGTGGAAGTATTATATTGTGCTAATATTTTTCAGAACAAATAGACCATTCAGAGGAATTTAAAGAGCCATAGGGGGAATAAAAAAGTTTGGTTTGAGGAGGAACAGGAAAATTTGTTGAAAAGTTACGTCAATTAATTCTGTAAGGATGAAAATTATAAAGTAAGAGCTTTTTGGATGGAAAATATTTGATGAGAAATTTAATGAAGTGAATGTTTTCTGTGCTGCTGCGAGGAAAGCATTGACAATAATTTTTGGATGAGATTGTGAATAAATTTAATTAGGGAGAAAATTGGAAGATGTTTGGATAAATTTAAGAGCTTTAAGTTGGGTTGAATTATTAATTTTTAAATCGAGAAAAGTTTCTTTGGTTGAGCTTTTGGTCCTTTTTTTTGTGGATGAAGCTAATGGGTCATCGAGATGTTAAGGAACATTAAAAGTAAGTGGAAGCTTGGCTATGGGAAAGAATGAAGTGAGGAACTAGATGTGCCATAGACTTAGGGAGTTGGCTTATTCTGCAAATTATCAAAAATCAACCAGGACATTAGTGAGGAGTTATTAAATCACTCCTTCAGCTATAGCTCTACTTATTATCCGAACAACCCCAAAAGAAGATCTTTCATCAGTTTACGATAGCAAAACTCATCCTAGCATCTTGAAAATGCTATAATACCTCAAAAGAACTTATAACGAGTCCTCAATTTCATAATACCAACAAAACTTTTTATTAGCATTTAGGCTTATGTTAGCCAACAAGCTACTAAAGTACATAATAATGTTTATATTTTGCCAAAAATATTACAACATTTTTTGGATGGAAACAGAATTTTTTTTATTTTAATGGAGTTATGTAAATTAAAGATAAACATTAGCAACAGTAATTATGGATGGTCTTGATAAGAACTCTTTATTGTTATACATGACAT